ACCGGGGCAGCTCCGAGGCCTCCAACCGGCCAACCAACCTGGCTCGTTGCAATCAGGAGCATTGAGCATGCAATGCAGCTGCTGCCTGACCCCTGAGATCATCAGACAAGGAATAGGGTAAAGTGAAGCACAAGTGGGGAACAAGACCCACAAGACTCCGGGTTGTAGGTGTCACCGACCCAACAGGCAGCATGGCAGAGGCAGGATGGATCCCCTAAGGCAGGACAGATGATCATCCCCCAGAGGCAGGAGCGACGAACAATCTTCAGCATCACACAAGGCAAGAGAGGACTTGGAAGACACATCCATTGTACCCCTGAGCCCACTTGGGTTTTCTAGGGCCTGTAGGAAGAGTAAGCCCTACAGGAACCCCAGGCACTGAGGCTAGCTTAGCCAGTAGAACCCTGACTATCAACAAGCAAATTGACCACTAGTAGCAGCCGTGAAACCTTGGGGCCACAGAGGAGGATCATCAACACAACCTAGGCTTGCCTAATAAGTATCTAGGCAGACCACCTTCGTGAACAAAAGCAAAAATGCCATACAAGAAAAACAAACCCTTCAAAGATACACAACAACTTGCACAACACTCTTGAAACTTGCACACACACAGTGTGCAAACTGCACCAGCTTTAGTGTGCCCCATCCAGCCAAAAATACTCCCTACCCGAGGCAAGACCAAAAAAAACAAGACTCCCGATGTACCCCAAGGGTGAAGACAACTAGCAACAAAATCCTCAAATGGGAGTGAGCTCCGAATACCCAAGGGAAGAGAACTCTGAAACGTAAGGGTTGTACTTATGTATGCAGAGGTGCTTATGTAGTATGTGCCTAGGGTGATCTTCCCTAGGAAGGTCACCCTAGGTACATACAGTTCCATATACAATAAGACACATGGTCACCACACCACACACATGGTCAAAGGAGGAGCTAGATAGTAAACGTGAAGGTCTTATAACAATAATGAGAGAGCTTATAGCGAGAGCGGATAACGATAGATCACGACTGTTGATAGTCGGTGACTTCAACTTGAAATCCATAGACTGGGAAGCATATGAAGCTAAAACAGAAGATTTTTGGACCTGTAAATTTGTAGACCTCATCCTGGAAACATTCTTGTATCAACATGTTAAACAAGCTACGAGGATGAGGGAAGGGGACGTTCCCTCCATGCTAGATTTGATATTTACCAGGAAGGAGGAAGAGATATTTGACATTCAGTACCTTCCTCCCTTGGGTAAAAGTGACCATGTCTTTTTGGGAATAAAGTATGCAATGCGTTATAAGCTGGAAGAAAATAAGGAGGTTGAAGCAGTTGAAAAACCAGACTTCAGGAGAGGACATTATGGTGACCTTAGAAATTTTTTTAGTGAGTATAATTGGACAGACTTGATGCTAGGCAAGGAAGTGAATGAGATGTATGTCAAGTTTTGTGAAATATATGATAAAGGCACAAAAAAATTTATACCGAAACAGAGATGCAGAACTAGGAAACAGGATTGGTTCAATAGAAATTGCGAGAGGGCTAGAGACCAAAAGACACAAAAATGGAATCAATACAGGAAGAGGCCGAACCCCCAAACATACCAGCGATACAAAGATGCGAGAAACAACTACACGGCAGTGAGGAGAGAGGCAGAAAGAAATTTTGAAAAAGGGATTGCAGACAAATGTAAAACAGAACCAGGTCTATTCTATAAATTCATAAACAAAAAATTGCAGGTAAAGGATAATATTCAGAGGTTGAAAATGGGAAATAGATTCACGGAAGATGAAAAGGAAATGTGTGAAACACTAAACGAAAAGTTCCAAAGTGTGTTTGTACAAAATGAAATCTTTAGGGAACCAGATGCAATAAGAATTCCAGAGAACAACATAGAGCACATAGAGGTGTCTAGAGACGAAGTGGAAAAAATGCTCAAGGAGCTCGGTAAGAACAAAGCAGCTGGCCCAGATGGCGTTTCACCATGGGTTCTGAGAGAATGTGCATCTGAGCTCAGCATTCCACTTCACCTGATCTTTCAGGCATCCCTGTGTACAGGAATCGTAGCAGATGTGTGGAAACAGGCTAACATAGTTCCAATCTACAAAAGTGGCAGCAGGGAAGACCCCCTCAATTATAGACCTGTATCATTGACAAGTGTAATAGTGAAAGTATTGGAAAAACTAATCAAAACTAAATGGGTAGAACACCTAGAGAGAAATGATATAATATCAGACAGACAGTATGGTTTTCGATCTGGAAGATCCTGTGTATCGAATTTACTCAGTTTCTATGATCGAGCCACAAAGATATTACAGGAAAGAGATGGTTGGGTTGATTGCATCTATCTGGACCTAAAAAAAGGCTTTCGACAGAGTTCCACATAAGAGGTTGTTCTGGAAACTGGAAAATATTGGAGGGGTGACAGGTAAGCTTCTATCATGGATGAAAAATTTTCTGACTGATAGAAAAATGAGGGCAGTAATCAGAGGCAATGTATCGGAATGGAGAAATGTCACAAGTGGAGTACCACAGGGTTCAGTTCTTGCACCAGTGATGTTTATTGTGTACATAAATGATCTACCAGTTGGTATACAGAATTATATGAACATGTTTGCTGATGATGCTAAGATAATAGGAAGGATAAGAAATTTAGATGATTGTCATGCCCTTCAAGAAGACCTGGACAAAATAAGTAGATGGAGCACCACTTGGCAAATGGAATTTAATGTTAATAAATGTCATGTTATGGAATGTGGAATAGGAGAACATAGACCCCACACAACCTATATATTATGTGAGAAATCTTTAAAGAATTCTGATAAAGAAAGAGATCTAGGGGTGGTTCTAGATAGAAAACTATCACCTGAGGACCACATAAAGAATATTGTGCAAGGAGCCTATGCTATGCTTTCTAACTTCAGAATTGCATTTAAATACATGGATGGCGATATACTAAAGAAATTGTTCATGACTTTTGTTAGGCCAAAGCTAGAATATGCAGCTGTTGTGTGGTGCCCATATCTTAAGAAGCACATCAACAAACTGGAAAAGGTGCAAAGACATGCTACTAAGTGGCTCCCAGAACTGAAGGGTAAGAGCTACGAGGAGAGGTTAGAAGCATTAAACATGCCAAAACTAGAAGACAGAAGAAAAAGAGGTGATATGATCACTACATACAAAATAGTAACAGGAATTGATAAAATCGACAGGGAAGATTTCCTGAGACCTGGCACTTCAAGAACAAGAGGTCATAGATTTAAACTAGCTATACACAGATGCCGAAGAAATATAAGAAAATTCACCTTCGCAAATAGAGTGGTAGACGGTTGGAACAAGTTAAGTGAGAAGGTGGTGGAGGCCAAGACCGTCAGTAGTTTCAAAGCGTTATATGACAGAGTGCTGGGAAGACGGGACACCACGAGCGTAGCTCTCATCCTGTAACTACACTTAGGTAATTACACACACACTGCTGGTAGAGCCACACAGGGCAAAATCCAGAACAGGAAATTGGGGCCAAAGGTGACCGCAGACCACCATGCACATCAGTTGTGAACTGTGGTGGTGAGCCGCCGGCTCCTACTCCCCACCCTTTGGGGAAGGGGGAGGCACTAATGAGCAGATGTGATAGTTGGATGACATGTTGCTTGCTTGTTTTCTTTTTTTTTGGGCGGGGGAGTAATTTTGCTCTGTTTAGACGTAAATCGCAATTTTCACCAGCTTGTGGTTTGTTTTGTTTCGCCTATCTTTGAGTCCCCTTCCTGGTCGATGGAAATTATGACATACTTTATATGAAAAGTGCTCATAGACTATTGCTCCCTGTGCCTCTCTGAGGGGATCAGATTCTGGCTCGTGGTTCTCGGTAGGCATAAGAACTCCCATGATTGATGACCCCAAACTAATACTACACATGTCAGCTTGGATTGCTTTAGGGAGCCGATGGGTCTCTGCACAGAAAGAAAGAACACAACCGATGACACTTGGTAGTATTTATATATTTTTATTTATATATATATACAAGAAGGTACATTGGGATTGTGAGGATACATAGTATAGTAATTATGTTCTTGTAAAGCCACCAGTATGTGCAGCGTTTCAGGCAGGTCCTTAATCTAAGAAACTTATAAGTAGGTAAATACTTGCAAAATTTATAAAAATGATAAGTTACATAGCATGAAAAAAATAAAAGATGAGAGAAAAATTGTAGGTATATTAAAGCACATAGGTAGCTCAGAATGATTGCAATGACAGCTTGAATGGTAGTTTAACAAAACTTAGCAGGCACAATACAGCATATGGCTAGCGCACAAACGAAGACAGCAATGAACACAATGGAAAAGTTGTTTAGATTAAATACATAAAGATTGGGAGATTGGGTAACACTTGATACAGAGCAAATTTAAAGCTCAGTGTAGAAAACTACGAAGATGAAATTAGGTACTTTTTGTTTTTGTTTTTAAATGAGGCAAAAGTTTGACAGCTTTTGAATTCACTAGGAAGCGAGTTCCGTGGACTAGGTACCTTAATTTGCATAGAGTGTTTACACAGATTAAGTTTGACTCTGAGGATATCAGATATATTTATTTCTGGTGTGGTGATAATGGGTCCTATTACATCTGTCCAGGGAGAGTTTCAGTACTTAATCAGTGATGATAGGTTTAGGGAGCCAATGGGGGCTCATGCAAATACATTACATTCAATGCTGACTTTTTGTATGAAAAATCCTTATTATTTAAATATAGTAGTCATGTTATAGTTTTGTTTTTACCATCTATGTTAACAATAATTATTATTTAATTTGTATAAATAAAATATTAGTAAAAATATTAAATATATATGTACAGTATATTTTTAATGTCACTAATCACATACAGTACAGCAATTTTCCTGTTAGTATTACTATCCTCATTTTAATTATTAAGCGGTTAATAAATATTGGCCTGTGTAGGACAGCTGTGCTTCACATGTGCTTGGATAAAACTGTGACTTTATGTAGTTTGAACTTCTCTTGTTACAGATCACAGGAGCTTATGTCTTTTGAAGGATTTGCAAGATACATGATGGATGAAGATAATTATGCCTTTCTTGATGAGCGCATACTGCCTGATGATGATGACATGACAATGCCTATGTCAAACTATTACATTGCTTCTTCACACAATACTTATCTAACTGGTCATCAACTAAAAGGAGAATCTTCAGTTGAATTATACAGCCAGGTGGGGAACGGTAAACTGCCATGCTGTTTCCTATTGATTATCACTGTGAAATAATGTGATATTTTGAAGAAATTTTCTATTCTATTAAGAGTGTGCTATGCAAAATTAACTTCACTTTATCCCGGAATGCTGTTATCATTATAAACTAAGACCCATGGATAATGCAATTATCATCATACTGTATTCTGGTTTTAGTTAACACCCAGTTTCTAGAGGGAGCCTCCATGGTGGCTCCCTGAACCTATTTTCCTGAGAACCTGGATAATGCCATTATCATCATACTGTATTTTGATTTAAGTTAACACCCAGTTTCTGAAGGCAGCCCCCATGGTGGCTCCCTGAAGCTATCATCTTGAGGTTGCTCCATACTAAAAGGTCACATCAGTAAGTTCCGTTTGGGCTATCAGGAACCAGAGCCAGATCCTGGCTCCCTTATAAGAGGTGCAGGGAGCAGGTTACACTCTGCCACTCACTAGAAAAATCCTCCAGAAAGTCAACGCAGCTTTTGCAGACAACAAGAGTGTTCACAGAAAACGAAGCCTTGAAAACTGCAAAACATCTCCCAAATGAGTCGCATAGAACAAGGGATTCAATCAAATGAGCTTGAAACTTGTTAGTACTGATTACTACAACTATATGGCGCAGCCCCAGCTCCCAGCCCACTTCCCAAGTCAGTTTTGTTTTTGATGTTGGTGTTTTCACACCTGATTTTAGTGCTTCTGGTCATGCCAGCTTGCGGGCAAATCCCAAAGCTTCAAGGTAAGTGCTGGCCATCCTTGGACTTGGTTGTCTTGTGGGGGCCATTTGCTTTGTGTTTCTTGTTTTAGTGTAGGCTTAATGTGCTTGTTTTGATTCTGGTTTATTGAGTGGGCTTGGCTCATTTGGCCTTACTGGCTGCATGGTTCTCTTCCCTGTGTGCCCGCTAACACAGGGAAGTCTTCTTTTCTTCTCTGGTGTGCTTTGGAAGTCTTGCTTTAGGCTTTTCAGGAATCGTGGATTCTTCTGGTTGGGCCCCTTGGGTGGGGGCATTCTTTGGTTGTGTTTGGGTGCATTGAGTGTTTGTATACCTGTTTACATGGCATGCTGTGGTCACCTCCTGTAGCTTGATGGCTTAGGCTACGGTTGGTCTGTTCTTCCGGAGAGTGGCCCCAGTGCCTAGGGTACCTGCTTGGTTATATTCCTTCAGGCTCTTGAATTCCCTACAGGTCTCTGTTGTGAACCTTATTGAGTGGCCTATCACACCTGACCTCGCTCTTAAGTTTGAGGGAGTGTTCATTGTCTTTACTACCTGTTGTTGATCATTCTTTCTACCTCCACCATGCTGCCACGTAGCCGAGTCCTGCGAGGTGTGTTTTCACTGGGTCTCTGCATTAATAGATTTTACCTCACAGTTAGAGGCTTTCCATGCAGCTACTGCTTTATGGTCTGGGTTTGCCTGTGTTAATCCTTTGACTGTGCATCTCATCATATGATGGGGTAGCTAAAAAAAAGTTTAGACGCCCCAAGGAAGATAACCCTGTCATGCAAGGGCAGCACTCACAGGGCACTTAGGGAAGTCAGCCACTAAGCTCACGCAGCCCCGGCACTGATGAGGTACTCCTGGCCACCGCACAACACAACACACCACACGGCAGTGAATGCCACACAAGGCAAACACCGCCTAGGAAACTGAGGCCAGAGAAGTGTCTATCCCGGTTGACATTACCTTATGAACTGAAGCTAGGCAGCCGGCGCGGTAGGTCCGGGGCTCCCCCCTCCCCCTCTCGGGGCGGGGAGGGCTGCGCGGACGATCGGCGCGGCAGTAAAGTATGATGTTTGCTTGTTTGCTTGTTTCTTTGGGATTGTAGGGAGTTTCTACCTCTGTTCGGTTTTTTGTTTTAGTTTTTTACCATGTGGGGTTTGTTTTGTTATGCCTACCTTTCTGGGTGCAAATCCCGGTCGATGGCAGATAAGCTAAACCTCAACCACAAAGGGGTTTTCCAGGGCCATTGCTCCCTGAAACCTCTCTGAAGGGGCCAGGTTCTGGCACTGGTCCCTGGTAGGTCTGAACTCCTTAGCTAATGTCTCGGTCTAATATAACATACATTAGCCTGATAAGCTCCAGGGAACCTCCGGGGCTCGCCCAGAAAATGGCATTACATTACATTCAACGCTGGTTTTTTGAAAATAGGGGTGATATTTATGGGGGACTTTTCCTTGGTCGAAAGATTTTTGTGAAAAGTAATTTCAGCAGTAGGCATAGTTCTTCTGGCAGTTCCCTTATAACTTTTGATTGGATTTCATTCACACCTGGGGCTTTTTGAGTCTTTTAGTTTAATGCTCTTCTGATTATGTCGCATGTTATGGGTATACAGTGGCATTTCGACATACAACTTCCCCTACTTACGAATTTTTTGAGTTACGATGTAAATTTTGTCAAAAAATGCAACTTGACTTACATCCCTTGCCTCGACTAGCGACTTTGTTGATACGCGTGTGGGTCGACCGATCGCATGGTTCCTAATAGTATGGCCGACCGATCGCATGGTTATTAATAGTATGGCCGACCGATTGCATGGTTCTTAATAGTATGGCCGACCGATCACGTGGTTCCTGATAGTATGGCCGACCGATCGTGTGGTTCCTGGTGGCATGGCCGACCGATCCTCGCCTCGGTTTGCCAGAACCGCCAACTTAGTGATGATCGTGCTTGTAAAGAATTGAATTATTTTTGTGGTTTTGTGTGTTTTGAACATAAAACTTCAATACGATAATTAGCTGTCTTAGCAGTCCCAGTAATCATTGTTAGGGGTTCAATTTGTTGATCTTTGTTTTCATAATGAGTAATTTGCTTCAGTAGAGGATTGAAGTATGTTCTCCACTGTGCACCTTACCTCTGGCCTACGAGATATGACCATTTGAAATGTTACTGTTCTCAAATTGGCTCGGTCACATAGGGCCTGGCATTATGACGGTGATCTGAGTGGACTCATGTTTATAGCTCGTGGCTAAAACTAGGGATGCTTTGCTCACAAGTCTCTGCATTTAATTTTTTGTATAGATATAATAAAATAGATTTGATGGGTTAATGCATGGGAGACGAGTACTAAATAAATGAAGGTATACCATTCTTACACTTATTACTCGTGAATAATAACTGCACAGTAATTAATTAAATATATTTTCTCCTACTCTGGCCACTTGTTGAAGCCTTTAACAACACACATCACCATTTTGTCAAGTAACATTGAACGTTATGAAGGCTATCAGATGGCTGCTAACAGTCTCCGTGGTGCAGTGGTAAACACTCGCCTGGCGTTCCGCGAGCGCTTTGTCATGGGTTCATATCCTGGCCGAGGAGGATTTACTGGGCGCAAATCCTTAACTGTAGCCTCTGTTTAACGCAACAGTAAAATGTGTACTTGGTTGTAACAACGATTCTTCGCGGCAGGGGATCGTATTCCAGGGACCTGCCCGAAACGCTACGCATACTAGTGGCTCTACAAGAATGTAACAACTCTTGTATATATCTCAAAAAAAAAAAAAAAAGTGCCAATGAACCCTGTTGGTCAACTGTTTCAAGTAACCTTTTGTGCCCGACCCCACAGTTGATTTTTCAAATATCCAATCAAACTCTTGGCACTTTATAACCATGTATGAATATTCTTGCCATCAGCGTTATCATTATATTGTTTTTTAGCAAATAGGCTGACTAATAACAGTTGGCTGCATTTCTGAAATACTGTTCAGTGGATTTCCTTTCAAGCAAAATACTGTAATATTTTTTTAATCCCATTTGTTACATTCAGTCTATTAACAATGTTATCTGATGTGTTTTCTGGGGGGAGCCCCGTCGGCTCCCCGGAGCTTTACCGGCTGATATGCTAATGTCAGACTTTGGCATCAGTCATGTGTATGGAGTTCTAGGGCCTACCGGGGACCACGAGCCAGAACCTGGCCCCCTCAGAGAGGCAAGGGGAGCAATGGCCTATAGAAACCCCCGTGTGGTTGGAAGCATTCTATGTCTGCCATCGACCGGGTCAAGCATCCAGAAAGGTAAGCATTCCAAAACAAACCCCTATTCTGGTGAAAATTGCTACCTAAGCCGAACTAGTGAATAGAACTCTTCAACAGAAAACACGGAAACTAGTATGACGTCATACGTCACCGCGCCGCTGTCTGCGCAGCTCCCCCCTCCCCGGGAGGGGGAAGGGGGAGCCCCAGACCTCCCACGCCGGCTATCCACCCAACAGTTCTTCGGCTGATGCTATAGGCAATGGTTATGTGCTCCGGCTCCAGTGGTTGTTTCAGCACTGTGCCTAGAGTGTGGTGTCTGTTTTCTAGGTGGTGCGTGAGCCGGGTGTGATTCTTCAGTACTCGGGCTGCATGCGCCTAGGGTTCCCTTCCCTAGGTGCCCTGTAAGTACTGCCCTTGGGGCTTGGGGCCACCTTCCACAAGTTCCTTGGGTCCTGCCCCTGCTTGGCCGTTTACCGCTTGGTTTTCGGCCGCTCTTTGTGTGCTCGGGTGTTCTGTCTCCCTTGTTCGCCTTAGAGTAAGGGGCAGTGTTTGCACTGGTGGGGCGCGGGGTACTGTGCAGCTTGTCTTTACCAATCATAGCGGCCGGCTCTGTTCCGCTTGGGTACGCTGTCCTCTTGCGGGGTTTTCTTTTTCTTTTGTTTATATACCTGGTGGGGGGGTCTGCCTTCGTTCTTGCCCCTTGTGTCCCTTGTGTTCTGAGTATTTCTGGTGGTACCCCCTGCTAGGTCCCCGTGAGTGTACACGTCCCGGGGGTTCAGCTCTTAGAAAGTTGTTTGGTAGCTTGGGTGCCGGTTAGCAGTACCCTGCCTGGGATTACCTGAGCGCGAGTCCTCTTAAAGTAAACGCTCGGGACCCTGGGAAACCCCTGGGGGCGCGCGGGTCCGATGGATGTGACCCCAGAGCCCCCCCTCGCTTCCAGCGAGTTTGAGGGTTGCTCTCACCTTTTGTCTCTGGGTGACTCTCTGTTTTGCCTCCGTCTGCTG